CCCTTTGTATTTCAACGGTCCATTAGTTTAAAGCTCTGTATCCCGTCTCTTCACCCTCCCTTCCCCCTTAAAGCTTACGGCGATGTCGTAGTAAGTCCTAGGCTAACTCGGATCACCCTCCTATAGTGGCCCATAGTGGAGTTCGGCGGCCGTCTGGGACAACTGAGTAGCCCTATTTAGGGACAACATCGCTCACCCCCGCGAGGAGGAAGGGACTAGAAAATGTGTCCTAATCAAATGCTGGGTACCCACGCGGTCTGCAGACTGACCGTGGCCTCAGACGCAAAACTCTCAGTTAAGACTATCAAACCGGAAACGACACTGTCTCTCTTCCCTCCCCTCCTCCCCGTCGCCCAACTCAACAGACTGGTAGAATGAGTCCGCTGACTCTGGTAGTCTAGAGTTCGATGGCGCTCTCCTACGGTTCCCTTAATAAAACCGAACTGCACTAACCAAAAGGCCTAAACCTAACCTCCACAGTAACCGTAAATTTCAACCCTAAACCTACCCCTATTCTTAACCCTAGCCCTCCACGCGACCCTAAACACTGACCCTGACACGAAATCCTATACCTTAGGCCTAAACTCCGGATCTAAACCCACCCTGGTGCTAACCCTGAGTCTAACCCCAAACGTAACCCCAACCCCTAACCCTAATCCTAAACTCAAACCTCAACCCTAACTCTTACCGAATCCTAATTGTAGGCACTATCGCCAAAGCCTAACCCCAACTCTAACCCTAAACCCTCTTGTCAAATTCTACATCCCAAACGCTAACCCTAAACACTTACTCTATGCCCTAACCCTAACCGTAAATGCTAATCCTATCCTTGTCCCCAAGCCTAACCGCAAACGCCAGCCCCAAACCATAACGCCAACCGAGGACCTTATCCCTTACTTCAGACGACAGCCCCCAGACACCACAACCCTAACATTTCTGCTTATAGTAGCAAACCTACTGAAACCGGCAATAGTAAGAAGAAATAAACTGTTGAACACGTGGGGCCGCGTTTCCGGGCTCCATTGCGCCATTTTACCTGATCTTCGTAAACAGTCGACGTGTCAGCCCCGCACAAAAATGGTGTCAGGACAGCAGCCCTGTACATCCTGCGTTTTTTTGTTTAGTAGGATGCCGCGACGGTTTCAGACGGAGGGTTTCAGCCGACCGAAGGATTGGCAGGGTTTTCAGATTCCACTTACGATTTCGCTCTCAATCTTGGCGTTTTCTAAATCTTACTTCTAAGCACGCAAATTTCCCCACAACTGTGAGGTTAGTTCCACTGACATTGTTATTAGGTTCGGTGTTGTCCGCATATGGCGCCGAACAGTGCCGGATCACTGTCTTCTTCAAGCTGATGCCCAGACCAAAGTCTGAGCAGACGGACTTGAAGAGGTTCACGCTCCGCCGAATGTTATCTTCCGTTGTGGTGCTAAGTGCTTAGTCATTTCCGGACATTGGATCATGGACGCTAACCGTGGATACCCTCGTAGGTGATCTCAGGTGACGGATGTTGAACTCTTTTCCGTCGGTCCAGTAGTTGGTATCATTCCTTGGCCGCTCCCCACGGTAGGACTGCACCACCATAACAGAAGACATGGGACTGAATGGAGTGGAAACGAGTACACAGCCTTATTCCACCCAGTTGGTCGCGGCCGAAGCTTCAGATTTTGCATTGTTGTCCGTGACGCGGGCCCTCATGAAGTTGCCTTACCCCTTGGATAAATCGCCAATGGTATCCAAATTTGAACATAACCTTCCAGAGTCCATCGGACTCACTGTATCGAAGGCTTTTGTCAGATCCCCCAGCACGAAGATCTTGTGTCCTTCTAGGAATATACTACATATGCGTGGGATTTAGGCACCGCGCCACTGCAACAGGAGCAAACGGATTGTCGTTGCACTACCTAGCACTAGTATATCAAGCAGTTTCATGCGTGGGGTTCATGCGACCGACGGAAATAAAGAATGCGCTTCCACGCTCATGTGGCCGTCATTTGAAGAGCTCAACTTTCTCTGTCAGGATCACCTGACTGATGAAAAAGCTAGATAAATGGGCTGTGGTAAGACAGCATTTCTAATCTTAACCCTCAAATGATCCATGTCGTTAGTGTAAATTGTCGAAAAACCCGGAGAGTACGTTTCGTAACTGCCAAAATAATTATCGGAAGAGTGTATTAACACATACAGTGTAGCACGGCGTATTAAAACGATTAAAACTGGTCATATCACACAGTAATTGTGTTGCATCAGTGGCCAATGATGGCGTAAGGTGTTAGCATGAAAGTTCGAACATGCAGACGCGTAGGTAGGGTTTCTCAAGGCTCTGCCTATAAACCTCATATATACCGAATTATATAGAGAGTATGCGGACCGTACGTGCCCCCTTCGACAGCATCAATGGAATTATGGAACTTAAAAGTACCAACGGATTTACTTATGAGTTTTCATGCCAGCCTATTCTAAGATGGCATCCATAATTGTGGAATCAGCAATCTAACGCTATAAGTCATGGAAAAATGGGCATATATCTGGTTACCTGGCTGAAGGACAGTGGTGGAATTCCCAAAAGAATCCCTGTAATGAACAGGCCGTCCATTCGTTAATACGAAACACAACAGTTTTGCTAGTCATTGATATCCTATAAACGTTTGACCACTAAGCACAAATTTATTCAGTCTTTTTTTGAAGGCCTAAACGTTTTCAGCCAAAACAACGGAGTTCGGCAATTTGTTCCATCCTTCAACCAGGCGGTGGGAGAAGAATTTGACCCGCAGTTCAAGTTTGGCATATTTTACCTTCAATTTGTATTGGTGCCTCCGAAGATTGGTCGTCCCAGACCAGCGAAGGCTCAGCTCAAGGGCTCACCTGTTTCCGCTGAAAATTCTGCCAGTATTCTCTCTCAGCTAACTTCCAGTCTCTCTTGTCTTTGTCGGTAATACCATTCTGCCTATATTATGCGCCGCTGTGCGACTATTGGTTGGGTTTGAGAATGAGTCTGTAAGGCACAACAGGACGAGTGAGTTACGTAAGAACGATCGGTGAGCTCCCCCCTCTAACATTCCCATCTCTTCCATTAAGCAACGGCCATTAAAACCTGTTGCATCCAGCTGGTCAACGCTTGGAATTCTCCACGCCCTCCTCGCAAGTGCTTTCACATTTGGTCCCTGTTGACATCCCCCTTCCCCTTTTTGTAACCCTCTTTC